AAGAGAACCGTGGGTGATTTAAGGACTGACGCAGACCCTTGGGTGGTAAAGATACACCTAGGGGAGAAAACAGCGCTTTTATGGTGTCTATGAGTTATGCATTGGATCACTGTTGGTATTTATAAAGTTTAGGTTTCATGTATTCTCAACCATGAATTCGTGGTTTCTAATAGATACTGGGAAGATTAACTTGTGTGGTAAGGTTGTTCCAGACTATTCAGAAAATCGTACAAATAAAAAGAGAATCATGCAAGTATATAAAAGTTAAGAAAGTAAACTAATGAGTGAAGGAGAGGACTTTTTATATGGTGGAAACACACAGAGGAAAGGAATGTATTCTGGAGAATTTTTAATGTGAAATTTAATGTATGCTACTTCTTTTACCTGACATGAACTCTCCTCTCCTTCTCAAATTCTAACTCATCAAGGGAGGCTCTTGCAACCCATGCTAACTTCTACATTCTCGGAAATTATTAAGTACTGGCAAGTATATCAAGATGCTTTCTGCAACACTTGTTTTTAATGTCTTCTAATTTGGTTTTGCTGTATTGCAAAGGCAGGAGGAGAAGGACAGAGGATGAGAATGTTGGATGGCATCACTGACGTGATAGACATGAGTTTGAGTAGGCTCCAGGGGTTGGTGATGGACAGAAAAGCCTGGCATGCTGCAGTCCATGGGACTGCAAAGAATTGGACATGACTGAGCGACTGATCTGACTGAATACCTCTTGTAGCAAGAAATAATTTTTTAAATCAGTGCTGCACAAATAGTAGAAGATCGTTTAACTGATCTCGGCTTGACTAACCTGGGCCCCGTTAAACCACATTCCCTCCCTAAGACATGCTGAAGGATGCCCCCGGCATAGCACACCCAGGGCTGGAAGCACAGTCTTTAGTACATGCCTACACTTTTTGCTTCCATGAGTCGACTTGGTGCTTACTGGGAATCTGTGGGTGTTCATTCTTTAATCTATTTGTTCTTATTGTACTTCTCAAAGTAATCATCACTTAGGTGTTTCATAAGCCACCAAAAAACAGTCTAGCCAAAATTGTTGGTAGGAAAACCAAATATAATATTCTAGAAAGACTTTTTGAGTTGCCAGGAAAACATTGCTGAGGACAAGATAACAATAAACTGGGGTGATGGCATCATGACATTGTAGTTTCCACTTAATGAAACAAGCCATGGATTGTGCCCCAAAGTCAGGTTTCTGGAAGAAAAATATGCAGAATTTCAAACACAAACTCCTTTGCAGAGTATAGTTCTTTGCCTTACATCACAAGCTTGTACATTTATATTCTGAGTTAAATGTTATAAGGTATGCATATTTTGTTTTATGAATTCTACTTAAACGTGACATCTTCCTTTAGCAACCAACTACTGTTTCAAACCCATCGAATACCAGAGCTTCTGCTGTTTGTTGAATCTTCTTCCAAGGATTGTCCTTCCAGTTGTCCTCTTTTATCTTGATAATGGAAGCAGATATCCTTACTTGTGCTACTTGCAGTGAAATTTGGGTTGTCTCTCATTACATCATTGCCTTTTCTTAAAGAAAAACAGATATTGTTCTTGCCTCGGGAACTTATACTCTGTTTTAAGACCTGAGTTAGTCATATCCATGCTTGTTTATTTGTTTGTTCAGTCTCTAAGCCGTGTCCAACTCTTTGCAGTCCCACGGACTGCAGCACACCAGGCTTCCCTGTCCTTCACTATATCCCAGATTTTGCTTTGACTCATGTCCATTGAGTCATTGGTGCTATGCAAGCATCTCATCCTATATCACCCCCTCCTCTCACCATCAGTCTTTCCCAGCATCAGGGTCTTTTCCAATGAGTCAGCTCTTCACATCAGATGGCCAAAGTATTGGAGCTTCGGCATCAGTCCTTCCAATGAATATTCAGGATTGATTTCCTTTTGGATTGACTAGTTTGATCTCCTTGCTGTATAGGGACTCTCAAGAGTCTTCACCAACACCAAAACTTGGAAGTATCAATTTTTTGACAGCCTTCTTAATGGTCTCTCACATCCATATATAACTACTGGAAAACCCAATGCAGACCTTTGTCAGCAAAGTGATGTCTCTACTTTTTAATATGTGTCCAGGTTTGTCATAGCTTTCCTTCCAGGAAGTAAGAGTCTTTTAATTTCATGGCTGCAGTCACCATCCGCAGTGATTTTGGAGGCCAAGAAAATAAAATCTGTCACTGTTTCCATTTTTCCCCTTCTATTTGCCATGAAGTGATGGGGCCAGATGTCATGATCTTAGTTTTTTGGAAGTTGAGTTTTAAGCCAGCTTTTTCACTCTCCTCTTTCACCCTCATTAAGAGGTTCTTTAGTTCCTCTTCACTTTCTGCCATGAGAGTGGTATCGCCTGCATATCTGAGTTTGTTGATATTTCTCCCAGCAATCTTGATTCCAGCTTGTGATTCATCCACCCCAATATTTCCCTTGATGTACTCTGCATAGAAGTTAAATAAGCAAGGTGTCAATATACAGCCTTGATATGCTCCTTTCCCAATTTTGAACCAGTGTGTTGTTCCATGGCCATTCTAACTGTTGCTTCTTGACCTGCATACAGGTTTCTCAGAAGACAGGTAAGGTGGCCCGATACTCCCATCTCTTTAAGAATTTTCCACAGTTTGTGGTGATCCACACAATCAAAGGCTCTAGCGTAGTCAGTGAAGCAAAAGTAGATGTTTTTCTGAAATTCCCTTGCTTTGTTTATGATCTAATGTATATTGGCAATTTGATCTCTGGTTCTTCTTCCATTTCTAAATCCAGCTTGACATCTGGAAGTTCTCGGTTCACATACTGTTGAAGTCTAGCTTGAAGGATTTTGAGCATTACCTTGCTAGCATGTGAAATGAGTGCAATTGTGCAGTAGTTTGAACATTCTTTGGTATTGCCTTTCTTTGGGATTGGAATGAAAACTGATCTTTTCCAATCCTGTGGCCACTGCTGAGTTTTCCAAATTTGCTGGCATATTGAGTGCAGCACTTTCACAGCATCATCTTTTAGGATTTTAAATAGCTTGGCTGGAATTCCATCCACTGTGTTGGTAAAAATCCTCAGCCAGTTTTAATTTGGGGGTATTAAAAATTGTAATGCCAAGCAGAGAAAGCAGTGGTTAGTTGTAATAGTCATGAAGAAAAGAAAACAAAGTTTAGTCCAGCTTTTTTCTGATGATTCTCTAAATCATTACTATTAGCTCACCATGCAGAGATTTATCCTTTATTTTACATTCAACTTATGGGGAAAAAAAAAAATACCTGTGTTTCTCAGCTCCATTGATCCCATGGTGTGACCTCACAATGTATTTGCATTGTGAGCCTGTTAAGTTGTAAAGGGAATTTGACAAATGTTTTCAAATGCTTCTCTCTTTTCATGCCCATTTCCCATTTGCTTTTTAGATCACTTCTTGGTGAGCATTCTTTTTTGACATTTACTAAATGTCAGCTATAGTTCATACTTGAAACATTGGCCTAGAGCCAGTGGGCTGACCAATTTATAATAGCCTGTTAAGAAAAATTAAATAATATGTGAAAATGAAATGAAAATTGCTTCAAAGAAAAATGAGAGCTAACAGTGGAAAAGCCCGTTAATGACGTGATACTCATCCATTCCTTTACGGTATTCACAGTTGTGTCATTTTGTACTGTTGCCAGACTCGGAAAGGAAATTCAAAGAAAGAATTAAAAATAATTCTTTCATATAGCAAGCATTTATTGAGTACCTATCTTGGATCAGCACAAGTAATACAAAGATGAAGGGACCAGTTCACTCTGCAAGCAACTCACGCTCCAACACAATGATTCTCAAACTTGAAATAAAGACTGAATCTGTTCTTGGCCAAAGCATTTAAGAAGGGACATCTGGGCCTCCTGAAGGCACTTATTTGTGCAAAATACCCACTACTAGGAATTTTTCCTAAGGAAAAAATCAGGAAAATGTGCAAAGATGTATTGAGTCTCATAGTCATGATCTTCATTTCTAAGCAGGCTAATAAATGATTTACCAGATGTTCCAGCAGGTATTTACTGCACTTAACCTTGATAAAGAATTTAGCTCTGGGTTATTTCTTTTGCTCACTACCAATGTCTATATTAGTTGTTTCTCAATAGTTCATTACTCTCTTAATAGTTTACTGAGCCAGATCACTATTCAGTTTTCCTTTCTTTCTGTCTAATCACCGAGATAGCATAGATACTAGATTAAGTTAATCATGCAAATAAATATTTTGTCATTGAACTGTAATTGTTGTGGGATTTTAAGTCTATGATAAGTTGCTCCAAAGTTAATATTAATACTATACAATTTTAGTATGGATGCTGGAGTTTTCTATTCCTGACCCACCTTTATGTAAAAGGTTGCTTGATTCTACTTGGCCATTGTCAGTAGCTTTAGAAAAGAAACAGGCAGATGAACTATGTAATCAAGCACTTGGTATTTACTTTAGTTGACTCTCCTGGGTGTCTGAGAACAGGTAGGGAAGTTACCCAGTTCGTTATTGTTTATTTAAATTGTTTACATGTATAAGAATCATCTAAGATCAGCTTATGGAGGTTCAAAACTTTTATTTTCAAGGTATAGTAGAACACTTGGTATTTGAACTATCATTCAACAGCCTTTCTGGCTTTCTTTCTCATTCAAAAGTGAAGAATCAGAAATCCTGATATTATCTGTTGGGAAATAATGGGATTTCTGAACACAAACGTCATCTTTTAACAAGTGTATGCTCACATTCTGGGAAACTAATATTTAACAAGGCATTGTAGCTTCGATCGGTCACCTAGAGTTTTGCTTCTGTGACTTTATTTTTCCCTTAAAGTGGCAAACCAGGCTAACAGAAATTTAAACACCTAAACGTAAGACTTTTCCATGGTGTTTCTTCAGAGACCTTTTCATTTAGCTCTTCTGCTGCTTTTATCCTTCAAGACAGTGACATCTTAAAATTCCTTTTTTCAGGGAAAAAAAAAGTGATAATTTGTTGTTATTTAAGGGTTTCTCCTCTTCAAAAATCTGAAGTTGTTGAGATGGTTAAGAAACAAGTTAAAGTCATAACATTGGCCATTGGTGATGGAGCAAATGACGTCAGTATGATACAGACAGCCCATGTCGGAGTAGGAATAAGTGGCAATGAAGGCCTTCAGGCAGCTAATTCTTCTGACTACTCTATAGCTCAGGTAAGCAGCATTTCTGCCAAACACACCGTTCATCTGTGTCAACTGCCACTATGAAGAGGAAAATGTTAACTTTTTTCCATTCTTTTTTTTTTTTTTTTTCATTTATTTTTATTAGTTGGAGGCTAATTACTTTACATCATTGCAGTGGTTTTTGTCATACATTGAAATGAATTAGCCATGGATTTACATGTATTCCCCATCCCGGTCCCCCCTCCCACCTCCCTCTCCACCCAATCCCTCTGGGTCTTCCCAGTGCACCAGGCCCGAGCACTTGTCTCATGCACCCAACCTGGGCTGGTGATCTGTTTCACCCTAGATAATATACGTGTTTCGATGCTGTTCTCTTGAAACATCCCACCCTCGCCTTCTCCCAGAGTCCACAAGTCTGTTTTATACATCGGAGTCTCTTTTTCTGTTTTGCATATAGGGTTATTGTTACCATCTTTCTAAATTCCATATATATGTGTTAGTATACTGTAATGGTCTTTATCTTTTTTCCATTCTTATTTTAGTTCAAATATTTGAAGAATTTGTTGATGGTGCATGGTGCCTGGAACTATAACAGAGTCTCCAAGTGTATCCTGTATTGCTTCTACAAGAATATAGTCCTCTATATTATCGAGGTAATGGCAAGTTAAGTTTAAAAATCCTTGTCATTCGCACATATATTTGAAACGTTTTGGAGAAGACATTTCTTCATAATTTTAATTAATCCTTCATCAGCCCACTTTTTTAAGTTCTGAATGTGTTAAAAAGCTTGTCAGCTGTGGAGAATAATGTTGAAATTCTGGCTAAACACATTATGTTGCTTTGGTAAGAAATGTTGAATTATAGTTGCTAATAAAGTAATGTGTTCAGTTTTTTAAAAAACTACAAACTACATAGCATTTTTTATAAAGTTCAAAAGCACGCGAGAGAAAACAGTAAATTGTTTAGGGATGCACATGAGGAAAACTGTGTTTAAAGAGAAAAGGAAGGGAAAATGGAAGGAAGTCCAAAAAAAAGAGGGGATATACATAGAGCTGACTCACTTTACTGTACAGTAGAAAATAACACAACATTGTGAAGCAACTATACAATAAAAATCAATTTTTTTAAAAAAAGGAAAGGAATAGTGGATATAAAACTGAGGATGTCTGTTCTACTAAGGGATCTAATCAATAAAAACACACAGGTAGTTGTGCTAGTATTGGTCATCCTGTAGTTCTTCTTATGTTTCAGGCCTACGTAATTGGACAGAAGTATGCCTTGCTCTTCAGATCAGTTTTTGGTGTCTGAATTTGGTAGGAAACAAAGAGTCCAGATAATGAGGACTTTGTCTAAAAATTATCAGAATAGTTTGGTTGCTGTGTCTGGATGACAAGAAATCTCTATATTCCTTTTCCTGTGGCAGATATAATATCCCTTTTAGCCTATAAACTTACTGTGGATTAGGAATACCATTTCTGAAAGGGTGAATTTTATCCTGCAAACATGCTTTGCAGCCTCTACAGGCTGCCCGGCACCAGGGTTAGTTCAGTAACTAAATCGCGCGAGGTTTCTACCCTCCAAAAACTTGCCAGTAGAAATATAAAGCAAACCACATGTGTAATTTTACATTTTCTGGGACCCACATCAACAGCAAGTAAAAATTAAAGCCCAAATTAATTTTAAATTATATTTCATTTAAACTATATATTCAATATTATTATTTCAGCTTGGGATCTCTATAAAAAATTATTAAAGCAATATTTCACATTCTTTTCTTCATAACTCAGTGTTCACAGTCTAGTGTGTATTTTGCACATACACGTGTCTTAGCTTGGACTAATCACATTTCAAGGATTCAAGAGCCACATGGCCAGTGGCTGTTCCTCTGGGTAGTATAGCACGAGTAGGTGAATAAGGGAACTCAACACGCAGGATGCGGTAAGTCAGTCCTTTATATTTTTTTTTAAAAATAGGACCATCTTATCATCAGAAGCTGTATTCGTAATCCTTGAACTCTAGGCGTTACCAGTTCCTTGCTCCTCTTGGAGCTCCACGGAGCATGACAAGGGGCGCTCCGTAGCTTGTTAAGAAAGCCTCCATCTTCCACCCCTGTCCGAGGACCTGCCCACGCCTTCATAAATCTGCCCTGGGCTCCCTTACCGTGTTTGTTCATGCCAGCTTGCCTTCTGCTCAGCTGACTGCTGCTCCACATCCATCAGCAGAGGCAGAACCTTCCCATGTGCCATTTGAAAATCATATCTCATACTTTATGCCACAAAAGCAACACTGTAAACAAAGCAGTCAGTAGACTTTACATTTCCCCTGCTGAGATGTTGGTTGGAAACTGCTGTTTGTTTGCTTCAGCTGTTCTTTATGCCTGTCAGAATGGTTATCTTCTTATCAAAATGTTGACTGAGCATAGTTCTTATTATGAGTCAGATTAATAAAATTAAGGGCTTCCCTCGTGGTTCAGACGGTAAGGAATCCGCCTGCAATCCAGGAGACCCAGGTTCGATCCCTGGGTTTTCGGTTTCAAAGTGTGCAGGCAGTTTTATTTATTGGTCACTAAAAATCTGTAATTAGATTGCAACCCATTAGGTAAAATAATGAAATACTATAATTAAATACTTGGAAACATAAACAGAATAATCTGTGAATTTAGTTATTGGTCATTACTGCCGAATTTGGTCTGAAATAGTCTGTTTTGAAACAAAATGCACTTCCAAAATAGCTTATGAGCTCATACAAAATATTTTGTTTATATAAATTTTTTATTCTTTTCTAATAAAATTATTTACAATTCTCAGTCCCCTCTATAGTCCTAACTTTTCTAGGTAGATTTTTTTCTTATCCCTCAACATTTATCGACATTAGAAAGAATACCAATTTAGACAGTTTATTTACATATATTCTTGAAGTATCTGAGTGTTTAATGCCACTGGCAGTAATAAATCTGCTTGAAAAGTATCATTGTGTAAAATGAAATGGGTCCTCAACTTGCCACTTTTTAAATGTAGATTATTTGACAATCAACAATGAAGTGGTCAAAATTATGTACTAATGGGAGACATAAAATATATCAAACTCACATGAAAAACTAAATCAGCATGCTCTGTTTCAAATCCAGAGTTATGCAATTTGTGGTTGATTAGCCCTAAACTTCACTTGGCTTTGAATTTAAAGCCTCTTTGAAAGATAACTAACACTGATCAAATTCTTTACACATTGGAAAGGAAGTCAGTCCTAAACTTTACTGGAAATCTCATTCTTAAGTTATTTTTCTTTTAGCAGTTTATGGAAATGTATTTTGAATATAATTCAACTATCTTGGAAATGAATTGACCTTTTAAATCAATTCCCAGATACCCAACTTTTGCCAGCTAAAACAAGTTCTGCAGATGTTAATGGCTCATGTCAATACTGTGAGTGAATAGACAGAATGCACATCATTGAATGTCTCTAGTGAGGACAACTGCCAGTCTCGAATCTCCCCTTTCAGGTTTTGTGCTGATGGGGCGTGGGAGCAGAGGACTCACTGACTGTTTGTAAGCTGCTGTTTAATATGCAGAAATGCTCCATCAGGGAAATGCCTGTGAAGCTTTAACTGCCACGCCTCTACTGGGACGTGAAAGTCAGAAAATAATACCAGGACAGGCAGGTCTGAAGTTTCTTTGCTAATAAAGAAATAGGATGGAACACTATGGGATTTATAGATTATCCATAAAAACTGCTTTTCCCGTTGCTGAACTGCCAGGAATGTCACCATCTAGCTACTGCACGGCCATAAATTATGGCCAAACAAATAAAAACAGATTTGGCAGGTGGCGGTATAAAGCGCTTGCTTGTGCTGGCCACTCAACAGGGATTCTAGGTGTTCATTGGAATGACTGGCACTCGCTAAAGAGATTTTAGTTTCTCTGAAACGTCTGACTCCTTGCTAGCAAAATAAGACCTTTTCTCTCAAACAATTGGTCACATCCAGGTTTTCCGGTAAGATCCCAAAGCAGTGTAGTGTTTCTGATTTCCAGAAGCTTTGATTAAAGTCAATGAGGTGATACTTTCCCACCAAGTTGTGCTGAGATATGGATTTCCTGTGAATTTAAATAATTTAAATACCTCCCCAGAGGGACTCATGTTTTCTTTCTGCATCCATGGTTTTGTTGAGTCAAGGGAGGGACTTTTATGTGTTTATAGTAATTTAGGTGTGGTTTTATTTAGTATGGGTTGCATTTCTAATGTATGTTTAAACTGCAAATCTCAGACTAACTTGAAATCAGCCTTCTGGTAGACGTCTTCACTGTTAAAAATCTCTTTCCTTTAAAATATGTAAACTTCAGTGCCAAAATATTTATATGAAGATGTGAGTACCATAGTCATTTCTCCCTTAAAAAAAATTAAAATATTAACTTTTTAAAGCACAGGAAGAGAATTTTTAGAAACATGTTCACATACCTTTCAGTAGGAAAAATAAAAAGGCAAAAATGCTTTGATAGCTTTCCACTTAAAAATGTCTGCATTGTTCTCATAAAGCAGTTAGATACATAGTGAATTTTAAAATAAACTTGGACTGCGAGTGTGTTAGCTTATTTGCAAGTTATTTTGAATTGGAAGCTGAATATAAATACCCATTGACTTAGATTCCTAAATTTCAAATTTAGATTCCTCAATTTCAAGCTCCTAGTGGTGTTTTAATCACCAAATTTACATACAAAGAAGCCAGGAGACCATTCACATTTACAAATGTTTATTCACACACAAATTTATTAACATAAATGTCTCCTATTATACAGTATTGATGTTTGCAAATGCATTTATAACTAACCTTTGAGCCAAATCATGTCCATTAAAGGAATTTGGTATGTTTGCAGCTGCAGCTTTCTTCAGACCAGCGAAGATTAGGCTGCATCTTCATAGACTATTCAGGCCACAACTGAAAGTTTGTGTTTAAAAATTCCTTATATTACCATCATAGCATAAGAAATCTGAATGAGCTTCACAGTCACCTACAGGGAAAACATTACCGTCACCCAGAGTATCACAAATATGTACTTACATAATCCACATCTCAAAAAGGCCAAATGTGAAAACACAATAGATCGTGTTGAAGTCTGTCCTGTCAATTTATGTCTACTTAACGCTTTCCAAAAAAAAAAGTTCTAAGTCTGCAGCACCACCCCAAGTCTCCAAGGAATAAATTTAACTTCCCTTGAAGATGCTAAGTACTTTTGCATGTAGCAGTGAGTGACCTGGCTTCTAGGTGAGAGCACAGGTTCAAATCTTTTCTGTAAATATATGTGGCAAGCAAGCGGGAATTTCAGATTTGCCTCCCACATCTATGCTTTTGTTCTTGTTGTCGTTAATGCATGTTACAACCCTAACGCAATCTGGACTTATTTTTCATGTGCTATTGCGACTTTGTTCTCTTTTCCATCTCATGAAGCCGACATTGGTTTTTATATATGCTCAGTCATTCCTTTCCACTATGAAAAGGAGAAAGATCAATGTGGGCACAGAAACTGTTGATAGGGAGGCCAGCCTGGGTACATATTGATAAATGGTGAATTTGTAGCAATTCATGCTTCCATAATGAAGTTAAATGAAACGTGAAGTGTAGCAAAGTCCATGCAACTCCAGTTGAAAAATTCGCTTAACCAGCACGTCCAGACTGCTGTTCCCTAACGGGTTTTTGGTTGTCGTTGTGATAGTTTGGCTTTGTGTTTGCGTTTATGTCATGTTGGGTCAGACATTTTTCTCTTCCAGATCAATGTGATTTTTAATTACATTTTAGTCCTGCTTTTTTAAAAATAACACAGGGTTTATTGATTTACTAACATTCACTTAAATTTTCCGTTTGTCTTAAATATGCTGGAGAAAGTTTCTTTTTATTGTCCTTTAATTTTGCAGGCAAAGTTCAGTTTTCTGCTTTTAAGAAACTGCAAAATACATAAGAACATGTCACTCTATTAGTTAAAGATTTGTTTTTAATCAAAATATAAATTTAAGTTACAAAATATTTTTAATATTATAAATTCAAATTTTGCATTCTGATGGCTGTAATTATCAAGAACTGTTTTTTTAAAAGGTTAAATACTCTGACACATTAATTCTTCATCTAAGAATTCATTCTAAAAGGAAAAAGGAAAAAGAACAGGAGGAAATTTGGGGAGATGATGGGATATGTCTGTTACCTTGGTTAGGTGATGGTTTCATGCATATGTCCAAATTCACCAAATTGTGTACATTAAATGTGTCATTTTTGTATGTCAATTTTACCTCAGTTAAACTATGTTTTATTCAAAGTAATTCATCCTAAGAAATTGAAATATTTAGGATTTCTGAAAGAATATTCAGTTCTGAATTATGTGTAGTAGAAAAAAACCAGAAGCAAGCTAAATATCCAAAATAGTAGGGGATATATATCCATTTCCATTAGCATCATTTTAAAGGGTATGTAACAAGTTAAGAAAATATGTATTATATAATATTAAGAAAAGGAACAGGACATGATGCTGCATATAGGTTTCCAGTAAGATAAATCTTTTAATGTACATAAATGAGCTAAATGAATATAACCACAGCAGAAGACAATAAATGGTGATGGTATTGGTAAAAGAAATTATTTTATTTTCTAAATAAACAGAATTTTTAATTATGATAGAAAAATCTTTAAATAAATACCAGAAGATAGATATTTTAAAGGGGAATTAAAGGTCTAAAATTTTAATGGCATTATATATATTATCTAAAATATCTTTTAGGAAACAAGATTATACCTAATTTTTTTTAAATCTATGATTGCCTATTGGTATAGTTCTTTTTTGATTCAACAAGTGGGACCAATCCTGACCTAAATAGCAAAGACCTTACAAAAGAATCCCTTCAAATTAAAAAGTAAAGCAAAGAAACACCGTTTTCAAGAGAATCATGAAAATACGACGTCAGTGAAGCTCTTATGCACTGGTTGAGTAACAACAGATTTTAAACATTGAATTTATGGTTTCAGCATTCTAATTTGGGGGGGGTTGGACTGTTTTCTTCCTAGATCTGGTTTGCCTTCGTGAATGGCTTTTCTGGACAGATCCTCTTTGAGAGATGGTGCATAGGTCTTTATAATGTGGTAAGTTTAGGCCTTTTAATTATTCCTGTTCTATTGAATACTGTGAGATAGAAGTTCACCCTGCTTTTGGCTACCTGGTATAATGACTAGCTTGTGCGCTTTAGATGTTTACAGCAATGCCACCCTTAACTCTGGGAATATTTGAGAGGTCATGCAGAAAGGAGAACATGCTGAAGTATCCTGAATTATACAAAACGTCTCAGACCGCCCTGGACTTCAACACCAAGGTAGGGCCAGCGCCTGGCAGGACTTGCTCGCTGCTCAGCTGCTTGGGGCATCGGTCTTCTGAAGCCAGGGCACCTCCGGGGTCCTGAGCATGGCAGGCCAGGCTCAGCTGCTTGGGGCATCGGTCTTCTGAAGCCAGGGCACCTCCGGGGTCCTGAGCATGGCAGGCCAGGCTCAGCTGCTTGGGGCATCGGTCTTCTGAAGCCAGGGCACCTCCGGGGTCCTGAGCATGGCAGGCCAGGCTTGCTTAAAGCTCTGATGGGACCTGGGAAGGCGTTTGGTTTTGCTGTGAATTTAAACTGTACCCACAGTTCGCTGGAGGTTGGCAGGCAGAGGGGGTGGCCCTCTGACTTTTTTTTGCAGTTTTGTGGGGAAATGCTCTCTCTCCTCAGAGGTCAGTCATCCAGGACTGACACGGGCTGTCTTTACACATACAAAGCGGTGAGGGATGACAGATCGGTCTTCACTCGTTTTCTGTTTTATGAAGTAACTTTGTCTTCATTGGAATACTAGATTGTATTAAGCATTAAAAATACCGTCTCTGGTAGATAACCGATTTACCAGTAGTAATCATTATTTACAATCATTATTAAGCCGTAAAACTTAATATAAGATAAAATATCAAACATTTTATCTAAAATCATATTCCAGGTTTATAGCCTATATAGCAAGCCATGGGCTTTTGTCATCTTTGTGATCCACGGTATTTCTTCATCGCAGGAACAAAAATATCTATTTCCTGCGTAGTTCACTTTCCTGCAATTATGTATTCTAAAGTGTTTCCACTAGTGTTTGTTAGTAATTCAGGTTTCTATCCAGTGTAACTGAGGAATTTTGTTGTTGTTTTTTTGTTTTTTTTTAGTTTTGTAACAGTCAAGGTAGATGTAATTTTGAAACTATAATAAAAGTATCAAATACACCTTAACAGAATTTTTTCTCATTTAATATAGTACATGTTGGTTATGTTATGCATGTTATGTTACCAATAATTATATGTAACCTTAATTTGGTGTTTTGAATTTAGGAAATTAATGTAGAATATTTTGAATTTTATTATTTCATAAAACTGCCAAATGACATTTGTCCTCAGTATACCAGGGGAATAGAGTGAGACAGGTGTGTCAGCGCCTCTAACCTCACACAGTAAATGATGGTGTTAAGTTTATTGCCAGGATGTCATTCATCTTCTGAGACAAGGTATTCATGAACGCACTGTGCGTACATGTCCCGGTGTGCAGATGCATACAACTTGAGGGATGATATAACTGAATTTGGTTAAATTAAAAAAAAAAAAAACTTAACTACAAGGTTTTTTGTAGAGTGGAGAACAAGTGGGTTTTTATAGAACCCACTGGGTCTATAAAGTATTTTAGTGGTCTTTTAAAACTGTTGCTATTTATAATATGCAATGTCTATGCTTTAATTTCTTAATGTTTTATTTTTTGCTTTTTTAAAAATTTACCTTTGATGTCCAATTTGTATTAAATTCCACTGCCTTGCTAAAAGGTTTTCATTACCTATGGTGAGTATTTTCAAGTGACAGAAAGCCACAGTCGGGGCAGATACAATGGACCATGAGCTCTTGTTTCCTTGAAAATGTGATCTGAGAGCTAGGAAGGTTCCAGGCTTTCTGGCAGGCTAACAATAAGCCTCACCAGCCCAGAGTGACATCAAGCTCAGCCACATGTCCCCATCTCCCACTGCTGAGGCTCCAGGGTGTCTCTTGAGAGTTAGCTTCCCAGCCAGTGCCTTGACCTTACTCCTGTTGCTTATAAACTGATCCTCACAGGATTACCCAAAACCATTCCTAGAAAGTCACATCCTTTTGTACCCTTTGTATATAGCAACTTGGAAGGTTTTGTGGCCAGTGAGAAAGTGTAACTGGTCATATATAGTTTTAACATGAGAACAGCCTTCCTTGTATTTTTTACTCTTCTTGTATAGAAAGTATCTCATAGTCTGCAAAGCCCTGGCATTTAGAAAAGTCACCATATCAATCCAAATAGAGTATACAACTTCTGTATTCATTTAAATATTTATAGATACACAAGCTGCCAGCAATTTTTATGGGGTTTATGGGTTTTTCTAATGATTTCAGTGAAAATTGTTTGAGTAAATCCCATATAAACATTTTAAAATTCAGGAACAAATGGTTACAGAATGCCCGGTTGTGTACACAGCAGTTGTTCCAGGTCCCCAGTGTAGGCGCATTGTTGCCCTGAAAGACGACCATTACGTTTGTTATGGTAAAAAGGGTCGGAGGTGCTGAGGTCCTGACAGGGGTCAAAGGATTAACATGTGACAATAAGTATCGGTCAGGAAAATGGAAAACTAGAACTAATTTTTCTTGCACCCACCTGTGCTTTCTGTCAAATAAAAACTTGCAGTAATGACATAGTGAGGAGAAGAGACAAAGGTTAATGAGTAACATAAGTTCAGATGTGTAATGTATTGGAGCGTAAATTGGATCATACAATCCAGTGTGGCTGAGTGAGCTAACAAAAGAGGCTGAGATCACAGTGGAAAATTTTGGGAGGCAGGCAACTTAATTTCTGTTGTTTGAACAGCTTAAAACTATTTTAATACATGCCAGTTTTATTTAGCATACGTTTTGTTTGCAAGAAGCACTTCTGAATGACAAAACTGCAACCCTTCAAAGGGCCGTTAAGAGTTCTAAACAGTTTTTCTATAACTTAATCTTTTACATCCATGTTACAAAGAAAAGACCAGTGATGCTTGCTTTCTTGTTAATAAAATACAATGGATGAGAAAGCAATTACTATTAATGATAGTTGATGTTGACAGGTGTTTTAAAATTGTGAAAGTCTTTTATAACTTCAGTCCTGGTAAAAAGGCTTTGCTTTGAGGAACTATACAATGTAAATGTTACACTTGTTATTTTTAGTGTTGCTCGTGTGGATGTGTGGGTGTGTGTGGAAAAAGAGAATGCACTATATCCTTACCATTTAAAAGTTTGCACTTTTATTGCACATGGAAAAGAAAAAGTAGGGATCTCACCAAATTACAATTTTCAAAAATTAAATTAAAATTTTCAGAAGTCTGTTCATCTGGAATTATGAAAATAGTCCCACTTGAAGAATTTCATGATCTAACAGTAGTTTTAAATTTTATTTTCTTCTTCAGGCAGAAATTTAAACTTTTAATCCTTGGTTTTTAGAAAGTAGAAAAAATTTCAGTGAAGCTGAAAAAACATTTAGAGAAACATAAAAATAAATAAATGACCCATGAAGGTCTAAGAGGCAGAAAGTGTCTGTCAGTTCTATTAATTCACAGTGGTGGCCCGACAGAAACACGTTTTGTGAATCTAGCTCACAGATAAAAAGAAAGGTCAGAGTTCACAGAGCTAGTTTATCGCAAATGGTTCTCATGGATTTTTGTTCTCCCTCAGGTTTTCTGGGTTCATTGTTTAAATGGCCTCTTCCACTCAGTTATTCTGTTTTGGTTTCCACTAAAAGCCCTTCAATATGGTAAGTAGGAAGGATATGAATGCTAAGAGGTGACTTTTACTTTTTTAGAAAAATAATTCATTGTCAATATATGTTAAAAATTATAGCGGTGTTTCATTTTATGATATTTTTTCCTTCGCGTAAAATACATGCATCTAAAAGTTGTACACACTTTAAAGATTTTTACTATTCCTTTGGGAGCAAAGTGATTTAATATATGCAAAGCCTTTCTTCTCTACTTCTCATGGTTTTCAAACCTGCAGGGAGTGAAATTTTAGGCTTTTTTTTTTTTTCCCTCTGTTGATGTGTAGTTAGAAGACAATAGTGCTGATATTTTATGTAGTCTATTTATTGTACCTGTGACACTTGAATCAGCTCTTTATACTGAACCTAATCAGACATGCTAGTATTTTCAAGTACTTGAGCTGCAGCTTTAAATGAGATTTTCAGTATGTTTTTATGTTCGTCTTGGAGTGTAAGCTTTCATCTCTGCTTGTTTTGAGGGGGCAATGTTATTGTGTCAATTTTGAGAGATGGGATCATGGTGAATTGCCTACACACATAAAAATGATTAAGTAGTCACTCTAGAGAAGAGGTCCCTGGATGCTTAGGCTGCTGTTGCTCTGTCCGGAGCAGACCTTGCCCTGGGATCCCGAGGAAGGCCGCTGAACATTCAGCTCACAGACATACCTCAGACGTGACTCACATGCCACCCGAGGTCTGCACGTCCGTCAGAGGTACCAGCTGTCCTTGCAGCCTGAGTTAACACTGGCCCGTAAGATGCAGGGCCGGTTCTCCTATCCCACCAACAGCCTCCTCTCCAAGCTGCCAGAGGCATCCTCATAAAACATCAGTCAGACCAGGTGCCTCCCTCCCCAGAACCCCGCCAAACGCGATCAGGTTTAGAGCCAAATCCACGGCCCCAGGCTTGGCCAACCCCACCTGACTCTCCCGCCCACCGCTGCCACCCCAGCCAGCTCCCACTCACTGTGCTCCAGCCATCCACTCGCTCTTCCCGTCTTCACCAGCGGTCCCGGCTGCCCTGTCCTCCCACCCCACTCCTGATCGCCCTGCATCCAAGACCCTCCAACCCCGACCCTCTCTCCCCATGCTCTTGGATCTTCTTGGTGCTTGCCTGGTGGGTGTGATATATCTGCTTTTTTATTTTAATTACCATTCTCCTCTGTTAGAACCAAAGCTCCAGAAGGGCAGGGCACTGTCTGTTAAGTTCGTGGTTGTTTTCGTAACGCCCCGAACAGAGCCTGGCTCTCTGTAGGCCCCCAGTGCATCACAGATGCCTTCATGAGAACCTGCGGTGTGAGCAGGGGAGTGTGTATCACGGAGAAGACAGTAGCTTCGTGTGCTGGTTGGAGAGTTTCATCTCCTTCCTACATTCATTGCTCCACCAGTACAAAGTGAATAGATTCTCATTACCAGGCCCTGGAAATAGCTGTGGTAAGATCTAATTAAATATAAAATATTGACCCAGTGGGCCAGGAGAATCATAATAGAGTTTTTTAGATAAAATTTTACACACCATAAAATTCACTCTTTTATCCTAGACAATTCAGTGGTTTCTAGTGTAATCACAGAACTGTGCCAATGTCCCCAGTCTCTGATGCCAGAACATTTTCATCAGCCCTTATGCAGCAGCAGTCATTCCTCATTTTTCCATCCCTCTCCCCCAGCCCCTGGCAGCCACTGATTTTTGTCTCTGTGGATTTGCCTGTTCTGGGCATTTCATAAAAATAGAATCATGACACGAGAATTTAACTGATCCTTATTGTGGCATAAATCAGGACTTCATTCCTTTTTATGGGTGGATAATATTTCACTGTATGGATAGACCACATTTTGTTTATTCATTCACTCACTGATGGACATTTGGATTGCTTCCACTTTGGGGAGCCATGGGGTGTTGAAATCCAGGGTACAATATAGGACTTAAGGAAGTTTTCTAGGTAGTTTATTTTCCTAATGCAAAATCAGTGTAGGCATGAAAAACTAGGAATGTCCATCATTGAAGCTATTTTAGTACTCTAAATTAGAAAGAAAAAATTTTAAAGTAGCACAAAGCAGACAGCATCCAAAACACCTTGCCAATTCAAAACACTTTAGGAAGGAGAGGTTTGAAAGGAGTTCCCAACTAATTCCAGCCCAGGATTCCCTCTGCATTTGTCTGAGGACCTGCCAAGCCCTCCAGCCTCAGCAGAAGCAGTTCACAAGAGGTGCTGCCTGGGGACCCCAAATCTAGCCAAGTCCAGAGAACGTGTTCTTCCTCTTTTCAAGAGATAAATGACATATAGCATAAATTGTGTTTTAACATTCTACTTTGTTTTGCCCTTTTTTTGTTTTTAAATAAGAAGTTTTTGTTTTCTTTAGCTTTTGAAAGGATGAGATACAAAAGAGATAGAAATAGTTGTATAATATATGGCTGAACATTCATTCACTTGCTCAGTGTTTCTCAAAAGTATGGTCTATAGACACCTGAGAATACTCAAGACCTTTTGAGGTCCATGAATGAGGTCAAAATTTCATAGTTTCAAATTTTTTATATTATCGAGACATTACTTGTCTTTTTCATTGCTGCTGCAAAAGCAGCAGTGGGTAAAATTGCTGGTACCTTGACACAAACACTGGTACAACTATACTAGAAATCATTATATTCTTCACTACCACGCACCCACATTAAAAAAAAAAAAATGTTTCCCTTAAGAATACCCTTGAAGACGCTATAAACCTAATACTTTTATTACATCCTGAAACTTGATACACATCTTACTAATATTCTGCTTGACAAAATGGGAAGTATGCATAAAGTATTTCAGCCGCAGGTCAGCAAGCAGCGGCTTTATCCACTAGAGTGTCTGGGGGGTTGTTGGAGTTATCAGCTGAGCCAACTATATCCATGAGGTCACAGAATCGTGCATAAGTAAAAGATCCATTCAGGATGAATTTTTCCAATGAATTTTTTTTACGGTTGTGTGTTAAGTCGCGTTAGTCATGTCTGACTCTTCGTGACCCTATGGACTGTAGGCCACCAGGCTTCTCTGTCCTTGGGATTCTCCAGGCAAGAGTATGGGCATCCCCCTCCTCCAGGGGATGTTAGGAGTATTTTTTATTGTAACATGGGTTTAGAGCATTATGTAAGTTTTGTGTGTGCAACAGTGTATCTCTACTAGTTCTACATGTGCTCAGCGTGTTCACCAGCAGAACAGTTTCAGAGTCCACTGCAACTAACCTTTAGGAAACTATCTCCAGGTCTTTAAGAAATGACTTGAGTTTTAAGTAGCATCAAGGAATAGTCAGTTACTAGAAAAGGCTATCAAATACTTCTCTCCCTTGTAACTCCATCTCTCTGTGCAATTGGATTTCCCTCATATGTGAGGACTTCCTGGTGGCTTTAAAACATCTGCCTGCAATGCGGGTGACCCGGGTTTAATCCCTGGGTTGGGAAGATCCCCTGGAGGAGGAAATGGCACCCCACTCCAGTACTCTTGCCTGGAAAATCCCATGGACAGAGGAGCCTGGTGGGCTACAGTCCACAGGGTCGCAAAGAGTCAGACCCAACTGAGTGACTTCACTTTCACTTTCATGTCAACCGAAACAATATGAGAATCCAGTTCTACTAAGCCCAAAATTGTAAAAATGTAATAAGAAATTATAAAAATGTAAAACAATGAGTTTTCTCACTAATTTTTCTTGGGAGAATAGTTATCAAATATATATAATATTTGCTTATATTATATACATTGGGTTTATTATAGTTATGTTTAGATAAATCAGTACACGTTTTTAAAATGTATGTCTTAATTTTTAATTTGGTAAGTATTAATTGATATAAAACCACATAAGCTAAAGCTTTGGGAGATTCTTAATCATTTTTAAGAGTTTTAGTCCAGAGCATATTAACACAGAATATTAGCACAAGTAATCTACCTAAATCATCCAAATGCCAAACTGGATAAACCCAACAACAGGCTTTTAACTTTTTTTCTTGATTCAATTTTGAAATTTATCTGCAACTTTCTTATGACAAACCAGCGATGACTATAAGATTTATTGGACCCAACGACAATTATTTCTTATAGCTTTTTTGTATTGATTAAGGAACCTAACCAATAGCAGAAGCATGGAAGTCCAGGATATCTAGTCAAACCTATGGTTTTTCCAGTAGTCACGTATGGATGTGAGAGTTGGACTATAAAGAAAGCTGAGCGCCAAAGAATTGATTCTTTTGAACTGTGGTGTTGGAGAAGACCCTTGAGAGTCCCCTGGACTGCAGGGAGATCAAACCAGTCCATTCTAAAGGAAATCAGTCCTAAATATTCATTGAAAGGACTGATGCTGAAGCTGAAACTCCAATACTTTGGCCACTGATGTGAGGAGCTGACTCATTGGAAAAGACCCTGATGCTGGGAAAGATTGAGGGCAGGAGGAGAAGGGGACGAGGAGGATGAGATGGTTGGATGGCATCACCGACTCGATGGACATGAGTTTGAGTAAACTCTGGGAGTTGGTGATGGACAGGGAGGCCTGGCGTGCTGCGGTTCATGGGGTCACAAAGAGTAGGACAGGACGGAGCAACTAAACTGAACTGACCTGAAGATACTTTCAGTTATTTTGTAGACCTGAGTTTAATTTGATTCTATAGAAGTTCACAGATTTGTTGCAGGCATTTAGGTTTGCCCACAACAAACCCACAAGACATGTTAGCACGTCAGGTCCTATGTCCTCAATCGTGGAATACCCCATAGAGAAAGGTAGTCTTATAGGTCTCTGACTGTGCGTTAAGCAGTCTTTCTAGCTCCTTTGATCTGAAAAATGTGGAGAAGCGGTAGGTCACACTGTTACACATGGCTGGGTGCTTTATACACTTAGCTCATTTTAACCTCAAAGTCTCTCTAGGGTAGGTAGTTTCACTCAGTCTTTTAAGTGAAGAAACTGAATTCCATGGAGATTGATTGTAGACAGCCCACGATGACAAAGCTGGCCACAGAACCTCGCCAGGTCTGTATCTCCAGAGCTCACCTGGTTCATCTCTTTTCTTCATACCAGCACCACACTCCCCATCTCCTCTCATAATTTATCTAACATATTTTGTCCTTATATGTTAGGCCTTGAATACACATTATCAAATATGTGCATAAATAGAGTACTGTGCGACACATATCTTGGGTTTTAAATTTTTCGGTGTTACCAAATGATTAAATATTGTGGTTTGTTCATTTTCATTTGATTTTTTGTAACCAGCAATAGTGATTTTTGATGGTTAGTACTGGCTCCCTTCATCTGAAGCCGTGTTTGTTAGTCCTTGCTGGAATAACAAAATACTTTTAGACGTACCCCTAAATTCAGCCAGACATACCCCTCAAAGAGCCACATGCCTGGGATTACACTGGGGCTCCCCAGACCTCTGTCAGTTGCTTTTTCCAATCCCTTTTGGTCCAATGACAACAAGTTTATTGAGAGATAATAAGAAATCTCCCTAAAACCCTCTCCTGTTGTTAACAAAGTTCTTTATTAGGGGTTCAGAAAGCCTTCTCCTGTCTCATTGCCCATAGCACTAAGCTCTACTTGTAATGATTTTTTTTTCAGTCTCTTGAACCCTGAGAATTGGTTAACAAATCTAGTTTCCTTCTTCACATGGGCTGTTGGAAATTAGATTTTCACTTTTTTGGAAATTAGATTTTCGTCTGTGACCCAAGTTGGGCAGCTTTATGAGACTTCATAGCGTGTTTTGCTCCATTTGCCCCATTTCTGGCTCCATTGTGTGGCCCCTGGTTCCCCTCTTTTGTTCAGCACTCCTAGATTGATTAATCTTTGAGTGGATTCTGAATTTATTTCCTTTCAACAAACCTCTCTTCTTTTCATGTAGGCACTGTATTTGAAAATGGGAAGACGTCTGATTATCTGCTGTTGGGAAACTTTGTCTACACAGTGAGTGGGGGACATTTGCCTCGTTTGCATATGAAATTGAATTACTTCATAGAGCTCATTTTATTTTCAAACTTAAATGTGTGCATGTCTGTATTTAAGGGTTGTCCGCACATCCCTTTAAAAATGAGATGAGATGTTTTGACTGTTAAGAGATCATTCTATGTTAGGTTACAAAGATGTCATTTAGGCTCACTGACTGCATAGGTCTTTAGTTGTTCTTATTTTCAGTATTCCTTCTGCACTGTTATTGCCTCACTTTCCCTTTTTGTGTCCCTTTTTCCTCGGGTTTATTTTATTGCCCTTGGCCATATTTCCTTGCTCTCCTAAACTCACGGCAAATGCTACCATACTATACTTGGGTGTTTAACCAGTAATTATTCTAGAGTCACATTAAAAAGAAAATGCCAAAAAAATTAAAAACCTCCATTTTTTCGAGATATTTAAGCCACGCAAGAGATGGACTCCACTGTATGAAATCCTTGTGTAAAGGCTTGTGAGGGACGCACAGATGAGTGTGAGCCCCACCCTGCCATTCAAGAGCCAACAAAATGTTTTACGACCGTTTTTTCATCTAAAGTCAAAGCTCCACAGGGGTACTAATGTCGAAGGTCACACAGTTAGTCTCCAGAAGCCGCTCCCTCCAACCTTCACCTCTGAATTCTCCAGCCAGTGTCCTTCCCTCTTCTGTGCCCCCTCCAAGGCTTCGCAGGTGGGGACTGTGTGCTGTCCTGAATATTAAGCGGCCATTGATACGGCTGATTCAGTTGGTGGAAAACTACAGTGTGATGTTTACATAACTGATTAATAGGAAGTTAAGACTACTAAGTAACAGAGAGGTAAAGGTTTCGGCAAATCCAGGCTCTCCTTTCCATTGACATCAACCCACTCAAGTAGTGAAAGAAAAAAAAAGGGAAAAACACATTTGGGAGCCTAGTGGTTTGTCCTTGTACAGCAAGCGCAAAACGAACAATACTTGACGGACTAAGTTCAGATATAAACCAGTAGATGTCATTGGACGTCTCTGAGAGACATTCTAAAGTATCCAAGTCTTAATAGGGGCTCTTTCCTTCATTTTGTGTCAAAACCTCTCTCTTATTTTGGAATTTTTTATGTAGTCTAAGTATTTAAATTTTAGTAAAGGTCTTATTTCTACAGCTCTTTATCCTGAATTGCTATTAGCTATCCTGCTGAGAAAGCCCAAGTGCTTCGCTTTATCCTGACTTTATGACCCAGTGGGCAGCGTCTAATACTCTGTATAAACCCTACAGTAAGCAAAAGTAGGACTGTGCACTTAAGCACCCACCAGTCACCAGTGCAAGGCAAGCACCACCCTTCCATCCTGGCAAACTGTTGGCAGTGCCCCGACTTCCTTCGTCTACTAGCAGGATTAAGTGTGTTATTTTTATCACAAATAGATAATCATAGATAATGCTGCAGTGCTAAGCACCATTCTTGGTATTTTGCCTATAAAGCGTTAAGTTTTATCAGATCCCAGTTTATAGATGAAGGAGATGAGACAGAGAGATCATGTAATTTGCCTTGTTCCTCATCGGAACAGCTAATAAACGAGGCGTCTTGAGCACACGTGGTCTGACTCCAGGGCAGTGTCGTCTGACTCCATTTAAACGTGATGCTATCCTATGGAAAACACAGGGAAGTCCATTAAATCTGGGTCCCCTGCTTTAGAATCAGCAGCATGGGCACCAGTGACAACGCACGTATACAGCATGGAGATGTGACACGCTCCTACATTCTACTCTGCCGAGTCTCTAATAAGTCAAGTTACAGAATAAGTGTCCAGATTTCTAAATAGCCAGTTGTATTACTTTTATAATTCATCTTTAAAATTTAGAAAATGAAGTCTTTTATTGCAGATGATGTAAAATAAATTTAAAGCAATCTCAGGAACCGAAGATGACTGTAGACCTTAGATGATTCTCCATCACTATTCCTGAATTTTACGAGAAGTAGGCAGGCCCATGCGCGGAAGGCTTGTGGCTGGACTGTCAGGCAATGAGGAGGAGGAGGCAGGGGAAAGAGGCAGGAATGTAAGGCTGTCCATGGCAGTTCCAGCCGGTCACAGTCGTAATGTTCAGCCATCAACTCACTCACTCATTTCTTTTGCTGGTTGGACATACAAGTCCAGCTGTGAGTAATCTACCAGCCTGTTTTATGAACTGTCATATTTGTGAAGTAAAATAACGTTTCCCTTCTGTTCTAGTTTGTGGTGATAACTGTGTGCTTGAAAGCTGGATTGGAGACATCATATTGGACCTGGGTAAGAGGATCTTTAGTTACAACCAAGGAATATCACATTTATTTACGCATTATCATTAATGTTTGTTGTTTTTTGTTATAACTTTAAGTGTCCCTTTACGCTAGTTCCACAGGTGGTTCTATGAGGGTTCAGTACTGGAGGGAGGAAAACGGGGGACTCTAGTTTGGAAACATTAAGTAAAAACTTAAATAAGTATATGTATCATAAGACTTCTCAGAGCCCTTAATATATGGTTGTACATTGTAAATATGCCTGAAAGTGGGAGGCCTTCAAACCTATTGACTAGGAATCTTTTCATGGTAGAGTATGTCACAAGACTGCAGAAAACCCATTATAAATGATTCTGAAGACCACTTAATATTATTTGTCCTCAGACATTTGCAGATCTCCAGCCTGAATAAAAGAAGCTCCATTTTAGATACATTAGTGTTGAAGTATATTCACGTCCAGGTAAAGAGACACAGTAAGCAGAAAGAAAGTGACATGTTCGAGGGAAAGGTGGGCACAAGAAATTTGGATTTGACAGTCCTTAGCACAGAGATTAGTATTCACACAAGTGTCTCAGCATCTTTCAGTCAGAGCCTACAGACAAAAACTAGGGAGGCTTAAAGCTGGTAGCAGAGAAAACTGGTGAGAGTGAAAGGTGAGACCCACCAAAGGAGGTGGGAAAGGAACATACCACAGGTATGATATCATCGTAGAAGAGATGTGTTTCATGCAAGAGCCAGTTAAAACGCACAAATATTTAGTTAATAATTGCCATAGATAACACTTACGGATACAGTAAAAGAGTAAATCGGGGACTGTGTGACATCTTCATCGGTGTGTGAATCCTCCGTCCAGCTGCGAGTCTCTGACACAGATTCCCTCCCTCCACAGTTCAGCCACATAGCCATCTGGGGCAGCATCGCTCTCTGGGTGATATTTTTTGGAATCTACTCATCTCTGTGGCCTGCCGTTCCGATGGCCCCTGATATGTCAGGAGAGGTAATGTATCCTATAACAGATAATCTGGCAAGCCATAAAAATTGGCATTCGTTCATGAGCCTGAATTGCTTAGCTTGGGTTTATATTAAAACAGTATTCACCAATTTAAAAAGCTATTTTTAAACTCCACAGTTGTGAGTGATAAAAATTGAGAGAATATTTTAAACTTGGGCATTTTACTTAAATCTGACTTACCCTTTCATAAGCATTGCTGGGATAATAAAATATGGTTGTCAGGAGCTTGAATCCTGTTAAGACCATCCATACAGAAGATGCCATTTTAAAATTAGACCATCAATCCACACATGCTTTTTGAATAAGAGATTTGGGGAAATGGTGAGTTTATGTCTTGGGACAGTCTGTCATTTCTTTTGTTATCTTTCATTCTAAAGAAAAAGGCTACTGTCTGGTATTAAATGCACTTTTAGAGTTGTCTTAATGACATCAGTTTGGTTTTCATTTTGAAAGAGTTAGGCCATCTGACATTTTAGCCTTATCACGGTCCACTTTCAATTCCATCTGTCACTTTCTCGTTACACTGGTAGGAACTGAGTTATGAGGTGTTCGTGGGGGAGTGTCATAAGATCTCCTTTCGTGCAGAAGGGATTCCAGCAGTAGGAGAGTGTATTATTTCAATTGCAGGAAATTTGACATAAAATGTATAAAAGAAAATGTGGAAAACATTTCAGGATTTCCTGTGACCTCACAGTAACTTGCAAATCGAGGTAACGTGAGCCCCGTTACAGCACATTGTTTTCCCGCAGTCACAGGAAACCTTTCCAGGGGTTTCCATTATTTGTTTCCCTAAGTACTGCCTGAGTACCTTTCACTTTTGACAGTCTGGTTTATAGATCATTTTCATGAAATTTTATCTGACAGCATCCTGCTTTTTATAAATTAGTAGAATACAGGCACATTAAAAAAAATTTGTGGCTAAATTTATTAGAAAGAGGCATTATATACTATTACAGCAAAACCAGACATATTGAGGAGTATGTACTTCCTTCCACCAAAGGGAAGACTCCTTCTGAAACATGCACTGTGAACTCAAGAAAATTTACAGCATGTATTTTAAGGAGAACAGAAAGAAAGCTGTGAATATGTCTCCTTCCCTTGATCTGCATCCTTTTTTCTTGAAGGAATAAAATCAAAGATTGCATGTGTCCACTTATGCCACCTGGAAATTCCAATCCTACTCTGTTTTTATTTGATGTGCACTGTCTGATTGGACCTGCTTTTCCCCAAGGTCGATTCTAACTTAATACCTTTTTCATTAGACCTCATTTTACCTCATGTCTGAATGTTTTATTTTCAAAATGAATGACACAAAAGATTTTGAAATCGAGATAGTTTGAGCAGCTGTAGCCAATTGCTTCGAAGACAAGAACAGAGTTTTTGACCACCTACTTCTAGGACAAGTGTGAAGTTTGACTGGCTTTTAGCCAACCAAATATAATTCTGCCCTTGCCTGTAGAATTCCTGGTATTACCCAAACACAAAACTTAATATCTTCTCTTGAGATTTGCGGTGATGCTGTGTTTAATTCAAAGTGAAATGAATGTCAGTACCCCATCACATTTCTGTTCACTTCATATACAGTGGGAAGTGCTAACAGGGCTTCTTTTTCTTGTTTTACTGCTACTAATACTTTGAAAATAATGTTTAAATAGCTAATGCCCCATGGAAAATAGAAAGAATGGATTAATTCAGCTGTTGGCTTGGCTAACTTGTCCAAGATGTAAATTTGTTTAATGTATTTAAAGAAAAGAGTGATACTTTAAAATTATGTAGTACTTGGTGCTTGAAGAGTGTCTTGGTGTGCCTATATGTGTAAATGAGCTTCACGGCGACTCCAAAAAAGAAAGATGACAAGACCACCACCCACAGTCTCTGGGAGAGAAGGTCTGCGTTCACAGTTTCCTGGGCACAAGGGTTTTAGGACCCAAAATGTTATAGCAATACTCTACTTTTGAATATTTTTATTGTGCATAGTCACTAATGCTATTACAATCCAGTTAATTTCAGAAAGAAATAACTACCCTTAGATTCGCATTTTTAATCTTAAAATTCTATACTTCAACCAAGAATGTAGTGAAATGCATATATATGAAAAATTCATTTATGTGCCAGGAGTTATACTTGTGTGTATGTGTATATATATATATACACACACACACATATATCATTGGCCAACTACCTTGAGTAAAACTTTCTTGTTCATCCTTCTATCACAACAATATACTATTACAGTGTGTATTACATATATTTTATTTATATATTACAAGTAGCAATATAGTGTTATAAATAACACAGGGATAAGTCCAAATGTTTGCGTTCCCTGACTTGACATGTTTTACGTAACCCATATAATGAAACACAACCCCAGGCATTTTCCAGAATATAATAATGCTGTTCCACAGGATTCCTGGTGTGCTATGAAGGTAACCTTCTGTCGCCACCACCAGCAGGGTCGTGAGTGTCTAATCCAAGGACCTACCCCCAGGACCCCACATCCCTCCTGTTTTGATTCGGAGGCAGTTCCTCCCTAAAGTAAAGAATTAAATACGTGTGTATGTTTGAGTTGTCTTAAAGGCATGACACGGGCATCCGACATAGTCAAGCATTAATAGAGATGGTTAGGCAGACTAAAAACAGCAGCCCCAGGCCCCCCATCCTGGTTCAGGTGGTATTTTGGAGGATGAGGTACTGTGGGGTTTAAAAGGAATTGACACAATAGAGAAGTTCTTCAAAAAGACAACTAAGATCTGGGAAGAATAATGCTAAAAATGCATAAGGTATATTGAATGCTTTGAGTATTTTATATGCATTTATTCTATCGATTCAGCAGCTATTTATTGAGATTCTACTGTGGGTCAAGCACTGTGGATTCATTAGTGAATAAAATAAATAAAAATCCATGCCCTTCTCAATGTTTCTACTGGAAGGAGACAAAATAAGTGAAATAGAGATGGATATAAGTGCTATAGAGAGAACACAGCAGGCAAGAGAAACAGAGCCATGAGTCCCATTGTTTCCCACACCTTGTGGCTTTCGCTTATGGTCCAGTCACAGGCTCTTGAGGGGCTTGAGAGAGGGGTGTCATGATCTGACTTGTGCTTTAGCACCAGGACTGTGGCCGCGGTGTGGTGAACCACTTAGGAAACTGTTGCAAGAACCTAGGCCAAAAGTAATGGTGGTTTGGGCCAGGAGGGCGGTCGCGGTGAAAGGGGTCAGAGTCTGAAGCTAATCCGAAGGTAGAGTCCGTAGGATTTGCTGACAGATTGGACGTGAGGAGTGAAAGGAAACGAAGTCGAGGCGGACACCATCGTGTCGGTCGTGACCGTTAGAACAGGCTTGTCCTCAACTCACTAAATCCTCCCAGCAAACTTACCACGCTCGTTTTACGCACGAGAAAACAGAGGCCTAGAGAAGCTAAGCAGGGACCTCATCTGATCCCCCAGTCTGAAGTGACGGAGACTTGGCGGTGCGGCCCGTGGTCTGAGCCACTGCCCCGGCTGCTCCTCTGATCACGTTTATTCGGTGGGAGCCTGAGGGCACTCCCCCGCGTTGCAGCTATTTCCAGGATCTGTGTAGAGAAAGGTCTCTGCTCTCTGATTCCTGACGGCAGTGGCCCCCGCGTGCTTCCCTCCGCTGCGGACACGGCAGCGTCCCGGCCTTGCCCCGTCCCCCCGCCGCATCCCGGCCTTCCCCCGCATCCTGGCCTTGCCACCGTCCCCCCGCCGCATCCCGGCCTTCCCCCGCACCCCGGCCTTGCCCCGGCCCCGCGCCGAGCCCCGGCTCGCGCGCCCACTGCCCCGCGTGTCTGCGCGGGTTCGCTCTGACGCGATGACGCTGCGCCCCGTGAGTGGTCCGTAACGACCGGAGGTAAAACTGCTTTTTCCCCAGGCTCGTCTGTTTCCAACGCACCCACGAGAAACTGGTGGGGGGGCAGAGAGACGGAGGTCGGCTCAGGTCAGACCGCGGCGCTGGCACCCAGAGGGCTCCGCCGGGGAGCCACCTCCGGCCGCGGACCTGGATGCTGGCCGCGTTTAGCCAACCGCGGCCCCGCCACGAGCCCGCTCCGCAGAGCCACGCCATCCGCGCCTGTGACGCTCCTCCCCGCCCCGAAGGGCCAGGCGCTCTGCGGACCTCTCGCCAGTGTTTTCAGACACACGTCTTACAGTTGAAGGGCACAGATGATTCTGCTCTAACTAGCGTTAACTGGAACACAGGGTGCAAGTTACATGCAAGTTAGACAACTAATGGCGCACAGATCAGACGGTGTACAGGTGTGGGCCTCAGGCGCCTACATTCCGCTTGGACACCCACCCACACACTGACCAGGACTTTGTAGCTGTTTCCGATCTGCGCTCCTGACTTGTCTTCAGCCATCTGCAGACAGAGCCGTTTCTCTCAATACGTTGAAAGAAAATCCTTGTTCAGGAAGAAGGGGAGGGAAGAGAACTAACATTCACTGCGCACCCATTTTATTCTCCAGGCACCGGTTTTGATCCCATTTAAATCCATATCACAAATCTAGGGAGTAAGCAGAGCAATAGCAAGTCAACCCAGAGAATTCATCCCAGGTTTTCCTCAAATCCCTTCAGTTGCTCTAACATCCTGAGGAACTAAATACCTTCTCTTTAATGCCCACTCCTGTTCCTTACTCTCAGATGGGGATGCTTTCTTTTCTCCTTGCAACGGTTTTCCTTGCATTCTGTTGATTTCCCTGATGTATCTGCTATTTCCCAGGATACCCAGAGCCCTGATCAATTTCCCTTAGTTTGTCAGATATAAAAGCATTCCCATCTCTCTTTAAAAGTACCTAGATTTTTAATTCTCCCCTCTCAACACCACCTAACTCCCTCAACACACTTATAGAGACACTGCCTCACTTTGTATCCCAACTTCTCATGTCATCTTAGCAATATCAGCGTGTCTAATACCAACTCATTAAATATATATTGAAAACCTTGTCAACCCACGTCATCAGAGAATGT